ACACTCTCTCTCTCTCTCTCTCTCTCTCTCTCTCTCTCTCTCTCTCTCTCTCTCTCTCTCTCTCTCTCTTGTGTGCGCTCTTAGTCTCCTTGCTTTGGCTACCTTAGGGTTGCGTTCCCCTCGCCCACGTGGTAGACAATTTTGTTTTCTTTTGTTTTGATGTGTACCTACCGGTAGCCCGAGGCTCGACACGGTTCGGGATACCAGTAGGCTAAGTCACGGGCCTTGATAACCGGTAGGTACTGGTGGTTTAAACTGGAATCGTGACTGCGCCCTAGTTACCCCCAAAACAAATCTGGACAGGACGACCTTTCAAGCCTATTTTATTGTCATTATAGTGTTACGGGGAACCCGTAGCAGCCACATTTGTGTTCAAGCCTCCAATGAGGGAACACCTGCCAGCTGGTGTGGTACCAGCCAGGGGTCAGCCGATAACATCATGACCAAGCTTCTTCCTGTTTCTATGCCTCCCCTTCCCCGAACATCAGCAGTCTCTGCTCAATGCCGCTCCTGGGGACCAATGACCTATCTCTAGGTGGTGAGTACCAAGCTTGCCCGGGAGGGTACATGAGACCTCCTCAATGCCTTTTGCATGCCTTACCAGCTGCGCTATGTAGGCGGCTGGATTCGGCTCGAAGGGCACCCATCTCAATTGCTTCCCCCCCCCCCCCTCTCCTTCCTTCAAAATTGTCTATCGCGTGGATGCGGGGAACACAGCCCTAAGGTAGCCAAATCAATAAGACTAAGAGCTCTAGGCTGCGGTATAGTGGGCTTCCACGTCTGTGTCAAGGTGTTACATTTTTGGCGGCGGGCGACCAGGACGCAAAGTGGGTTCTTAGGGGGCAAAAACATTTGGGGGACCGGTCCTTGGCAAAATTGTGGACTACCTACAGCTAGCTCTGGTAGAACCGGGACTTTTGGAAAAATGAGGGACTGGCCGTCGGGTGGAAGTGGACCCCAAAAAGAAGTGGGGGGCGTTGGACCGGTCCGCGGGTAGAAGTGGACCCTAAAAAGTAGTGAGGGCATGTGAACTGCAAAAGGGCCCTCAGGCCCAGACATTGAGCCCCGTCTTCTTAAAACAGGGAGGTCAGACACAACGAAATAGGCGTTTTGCAAGGGGCAACTTTGGTCATTTTCTGTGCTCGGAGGAACCCGCAAAAAAATATGAAATTTTTAGAATCCATAGATGAGGTCGTGTTCTTTTCAAGAAAAATATTAGAACATAAAAAAAAAATCATTTAGACCAAGACAATTTGGTGAGTTTTCACTTTCAGAAGAATGTGTGAGAAAACCTGAAAATTGAAGTACTCTTACATTTTGTTGCAATTTTTCCAGGAAAAATGCTAAATAAATTAAAAAAAATCATTCCAACTACGAAATAGATCGCGGCCGCAATTTGACCCATATTTCAATTTTGCAATTCAGCCTCTCTCTCTCTCTCTCTCTCTCTCTCTCTCTCTCTCTCTCTCTCTCTCTCTCTTTCTCTGGTAGGCCCCCCGCTCCCCTCTCTCTCTGTCTCTCTTTCTTTCTCTCTCTCTGTCTCTCTCTCTCACTCCTATCAACAAATGGAACTCCCTCTCTCTCTCTCTCTCTCTCTCTCTGGTAGCCCCCCCCTCCCTCTCTCTCTATCACTCTTGCTTTCTCTCTCTCACTCTCTGTCTCTCTCTCACCGTCATAAGAATAAATGGAACAAAAATCTCTCTCTCTCTCTCTCTCTCTCTCTCTCTCTTGTGCGAGCTCTTAGTCTTATTGATTTGGCTACCTTAGGGCTGCGTTCCCCGCGTCCATGCGGTAGAGAATGTGCTTTGGCTCTGTTCACTTTTGAATCTGGTGAAGAGACACGTCCAGATTCAGAACAGAGGCTGCCGTCAGTTGGGCCCTAAATGGCTCGAAAGGCCACATTGATGCAATTCCCTGCACTTGACTGCTCGTCCTGCCTACAATAACTCCCTGCCCGCTGCGAAGGCCTGCCCAAAATTGAACACCCTGTCAACGACGGTGTTCGGCCTATCAACTATCAACTACTGGTAGCCCCAGGAAAAGACCTGCCCAGGGTGTAAGGCATCCCCTAGACTTGCCTACTGGCTGCAAACAATCCCTCTAGAACCCACGTAGCACCAGTCGTCCAGGCAAATAAAAAGGCGAGGCTGGGGTACAAACGCTGAACCATGCTCTACGGCGGTCTCGAAGGCTGTAAACCTAATCAGTACCTTACGGGCTCGGCACACCTGCCCTCGCAGTGAGTCAATCTGGGGAAGGTGGGAAAAACCAGGGACGACCTGCGTGGATTCTACCTTTCTGGCCGTCGATATTCATAATCGACAGTCAGAAATGGGAGAATCCGAGTAAGTGGGACGTCGCCCCTGGGGTTCGACACAAGGGCGCCACGGTTCTGTCCCACCCCCTGCTCCCATTGCACAGAGCGACTCGAAGAGCCAGCGAGGACGAGAGGTAGGCAGGAATTCGACGGACGGATTCCACTGACGCAGAAACGCATCCGTGTGCTTCGTGCTTCTAGCCCGGCGTGACGCGCCGAATGCAGACGCCCGTGCCGAGTTTACTGCTCCGCCATAGCCGGATAGAAGAGAGCTGTCAGGCTTAGGCTTGCATAGGCTGGGCGCTGGCATACATACAGGAAGGAGTGGTGTTATTTGAAGCAGGTGATTATCACCGGCAACCTGGTGTGCGTGCTGCAGGGTCCGGCCATAGCCGGGTTGAAGACGGGTGCAGGCAAACAGGTAGGCGGCGACGCCCCGAGTTTACTTTGAGGGTGTAGTACAGCCCAACAACAGAGAGAGAAGCGATTCTTGAGTCTGGCAAGTCGAACACTCGTCTAGTTGTGCCCTCGACGCGCCACACCTAGGCGCGTTGTACGCTGTTTCTCGGGTTCTATACTGTGCCTCGGTTCTGCAAGCCCTGATGTTCTGATCGGTTGCTCGGGTGGTGGTCTCGAGTGGTTTGTTTGTTTGGTCGTCTCTTGGTTGATTAGCCGGAGCTGGGGGGAAAGTAGATGCGCGGTTTCCTGAAGGTCACAGCAAAGTTATTTGCGCCCGTTAGGGAAGAGGAATGTACCACACGTGGCGGGAGGGAGGCGGGCTTTAGGCAAGGGTGGTTACGATGATGATGTAGCTGGGGGAGGTTAGGAGAGGAGGAGGAGGAGGAGGAGGAGGAGGAGGAGGAGGAGGAGGAGGGTTGTAAAACCTTTTGGATAGCTGCAGGTGAAGGTGTAACAGCAGAAGGCGGGACGGGAGACGTCCGCGCGCGACTCTCTCTCTCTGTCCCGGGCTGCGCGAGGGGAAAGTGAAATCTCGTGATGGGCGTTACGGTGCACGTCAAGTGCTCCAACGGAGCCAAATTCACCGTCGATGTTGATCTGAATTCTACGGTCAAAGACCTCAAGACAGACCTCGCAGGCAAATCCGAAATCCCTGTCGAGCAACAACGGCTCATCTACAAAGGTCGGGTACTTAAGGACGACAATTCCCTGAGTAGCTATGGTAAGCCCTCTTTCCCCGCTCTTTTTCATCCCCACTTTCCGATCATCCCTGAGGTTGTCCCTGTGTGTATCTTCTCGTAAAAACTTATAGAGGAAGTTCTTTTTCAGACGTGTGTTCATGGAGGGAAGGAGGAGTCGCTGTTGGATGGGAGAGGAACTGCTGCCGGGGTACCGCCTCCGGCTACCCTTTAGCGGCCGAGCGCAGCGGATGTGTGCGCGAAGTATATGTATATATGTGACGATATATTTATACACACACACAGAGCGAGAGAGAGAGAGAGAGAGAGAGAGAGAGAGAGAGAGAGAGAGAGAGAGNAGAGAGAGAGAGAGAGAGAGAGAGAGAGAGAGAGAGAGAGAGAGAGAGAGAGAGAGAGAGAGAGAGAGAGAGAGAGAGAGAGAGAGAGATGGAGCCGCACGCTGGAGCAACCTTAGATGTCAGGTCGATGGTGTAAAGAAGCAGATGATGCAACAAGTGAAAAGAGTGTGTTTGTGACCGATGCAGATGGTGAAAACTCAGCGCGGCAATACTAATGCTCAACCTTGGCGTCAGCTCCATCGATTGTCTTAGCAAAGTCTGAAACAAAACTCTTCGCTTGTATGAACCCAAAATCAGCGGCTTCAATTGAAGCCGTAGCTTCTGCATATCCACCAGTTTGCTGCGCTGAAGCAGGGATGGGGATCCCCCGTCGCCTGCTTGTGCTACAGGTTCACTCCTTTTCTGAGGTCGAGTTCGGTGAAACGGGGGGAACCTGCAAGTAGTGGCGCTCTCGCGGCGAGATCACTTGAGAAAGGGGCAGGGAGAGTGAGAGGTTGAAGTGCGCAAGGGTGGGGGAGAGTTTCGCAGGGAGGGCAGTCTGGGAGGGTAGGGAGTTTGAGGAGCGCAGAGAAGAATGGGTTGCAGAAGGAAGTCCGTCTGAGAGGGCGGGAGGGAAGGCGATTTGGGAATGGAGGAAGGGGGTGAGGAAGTTGTGTGTGGAAATGGTTCGTAAAAGATACCAACACAACGTCCTCGTGCCGCGCTGCTAGACTGTACTTGGAGATCTTGCATCCACAGGGAGCTTGAGAGATGCAGTGAAGTAAAAGACGGTGGAGCGCGAAAGGACTCGGGGGGTGAAAGAGAGAGAAGACACAGATGGGGGGCGGGCGAGGAAGTAGAAGCTGACTTGGGAGGTGGAGAGAGTGATCGAGTTATGTTGTCGCTCGGATGGAGTTAGAAATCCTGCTATAGTTCGAGCATGATTCCGTTTTCGTTGCCAATACCTATCTGCATTTGATATGCCTTTTTTTCTCCGGACAGATGAGGTGTATGCCGAAGGAGACGAGTAATGAGCACGGAGGTGATGGAATCGATGAGGGGATAAATGAAAGGAACTGAACTGAAGTGGGATGCCATTGCGTCATGTCTAAGAAAAAGTGCCTGCGGGAAAGTAGCGATGTTGTGTGTGTGTGTGTGTGTGTGTGCACGCGGCAGTCAGTGACAGGACGGCGTTTGTTTGAGTTGCATTTACCGGTATGTACTTGTTAGGTGCAGCGTCGTAATGTTCTACGTGTCACACCGTGGTTTCCACTTTTCTTCACGTGTATTGTTTTCTATGTGCCGTACTCTGTGTGAATCCCTAACCAATATTTGACGACCGATTTACAGGACTGTTTATATGCTATACTGTTCCATCCACATGTGACTGTGTATACGCTGGGGCTCGTTTTGATCGGTTATCGTATAATTTGCTGTATATACTCCACCGACGGCCGCATCGCGTGCCTTTGAGGCATCGTTGGCCTTATGAGATGAGACTTGAGTGGTCCGTTGTCGCACATGAGCCGTGAAGGCTGCCGTGTTGGTTGACGTACTAAAAATACGAATCTCCCTCTTTCACCCACGCTCGTCCAGGCCAGGTGGTTTTTGGTATCTGAGCTCCATGCCAGGTGGTTTCCCCGATTTCTGGGCTCACAAACGGTTGTGTTTGTGTGTGCATGTGCGTGTGTATGTCTGTGTTTGTGCGCGCGTGCGCGTGCTGGTGAGTCTATGAGTGCGTCCGTGCGTCCGTACCGGCGTGTGAGTGAGACGAAGGGTGCGTCCGTGCTCGCGCTTGTGCGTGAGGTGCGTGCGCGTAGTGCGTGTGCGTGAGACGACGTGTACTAGCACGTGCGCAAGAAGCAGGATACGGAGGATAGAGCGGAGAGAAGGGGGAAGTTGAAGGGGAGTGGAGGCCTAATTATCTCTGCGACGAATCTTGTGGGCTTGCACGGGCGCGTACGTGTGTGTGTATGTGTGTGTGTGTGGG